TTTTATTTAGCAGTCTGAGATTGAAACGCAGTAGCCTTTGTACAGGGCAGGTCTGTTTAGCAGCCGTTTGAAAACATCAACCCATCCTAACGGAGGCCTGAGTGTGAGGAGTAAACGGTGAGCGGGGAGTAAACACAGAGAATCTCACGCTGTGAAGCTAGATGACGCAGGCGCCGCCGGGTGAGATGTCGCCTTTTAAAGAGTTTGTTTATTCCTGCTTTAACACCCTTTGCGGGCTGGTTGATCACCCACAGCTGGCCCCCTGACTTGGAAAAAAAAAGCAGGCCATGTTTAAGCAGCCGGCTGCTTATCAAACCTCCCGGTTTATGCAAACGACGGTGCTCGGATGCAGCTGAATGGTTCTTTGGGGTCTGGCTCTGTGAAGCCACAGCAGATTTTCTGTTCAGGTGATCCGTCATAGCACGCTCCCTATAATAATGGAGGCCCAGACAGTTCCCAGTAGAGTCCGAAACATCAGTCAGGACTCTGTCTGCTGCGCTCCGATTCACACTTGAGTCTGTGTGAAAAGGATTAGGCCATAATTGAGTTGGCAAACAGTACTTTAAAGGTTAATGGGATTCATTTGCATGAGAATCTGCTTAAAGGTTGGGCTGGCCAGTCTGCAGAAGGCTTGATCATATTTGAACTCAGAAGACAAATAAATACGCCCCTCTATTCTTTGCCACTTCAGAAGAACTGTCCTTTCAAAGCCGAGCCGGGTCGGGGCAGCACCTCCCTGTAAAAGGAGGTTCTGGCTGAATGTGGAGGCGTTCAGCCCTAGAAATGGTCGGGGTCGATGTCTTTCTCTCAGAGCTCAAACAAGACTAACACAAGCGCAGACGACCAGTCTGTACACAGCATTGGAGAAAAAAAGACTGAAATTAGGCATTAATCATAACTGGTTTCTATGGCAACCATCTTGCTTATGATTTATATCACGATACACTGAGCAGGCGACGCCGTTTTGAAAGGATTTTTTTTCTTATCCTAATTTTTTTTCACATTATCTTAACAAATTGCAACTTATTTTATTATCAAAGTGCAAAGTGTGTCTGCCATATACACAACTACAGATAGAAATGTTTTTTTCTGAAAGCTGGAAACAAATAAAGAGCACTTTTGAAATAAAATCAATATCTTTTTTGGCTCCAATTCATCAGCTTGCAAGTTTTCTCTCGATTTCTTGGGTTTCGACAGCACAGAAGCCAGCTACCAATGGGCTCAAATCAAATTTGAAGTACCTGCCAAAAGGTTAGACCCCGCAGGAGTTAAATGACTAATTGTTCTTTCAGATTGCAGATTATGACGGCTTTTCTCTAATTCATTTCATTAAGTCTTTACATGGTGTTATGTGCCCCAGGCACATTATGATTTTTGTCCATTTCTTTTCTTTGTTTTCTTATAAACTTTAGTTGAAGGATCTTTTGTTAATATATTTTGGGATTCTTTTAGTAAGTTAATTATGTTAATTTGTGGTGCTGTCGTCCGCCTATAAATAGGCTGGCCTTCAGCACGTTAGCGCGTTCCTTTCGCGTTCCTTTCCAACCTCGTTTTTGGACGCCGCTTTCCACCTGCTCATTTGCTCCATCGTGCACGGTGCGCACTTGTCTTGTCGCTGCGGCCTGCAGCGGACGTTCCAGCCTGCCATGTGGTATTTTTGTTAACTTTTTCTTACTTTTTTTCTCGAGGTTTTGGCCTGGCGGGACCGGTAGTCCTGTTTTCGATTTTTTCTTTTGCTTAGGTTATTTTTTGTCTTTAGTCCGGTAACAGTAGGGGCTTCGACGGCCCTGTATAGGGTTGGCCCCCTGCTGTACTGTTTTATTCTGTTTGATCGGCCTGCCAGGTCCAACTTTCTGTTGTTACTTTGGGTTTCTTTTTTTTACTTTTTGGGGCACGGGATTTGAGGGCCGTTAATTATTTTTCTCTTCGCAGAACATCTGAGGAAGCCGAACCAACTGCAACTAAAACGAAGAGAATTTGTTAATAAAAAATCTTTTTTTTGAACCCTCATTTTTGTCTCGTGTCCTCAAATATGTTGTGTCCTTGGTGGGCGTAACATATTTTTGGGGGCTTGTCTAAACAGCGTTTGCCTTTCGTGTCCCCGATTATGTTGTGTCCTTGGTGGACATAACATATTTTTGGGGGCTTGTCAAAACAAAGTTCGCCTTTAGTGCCCTCCGATATGTTGTGTCCTTGGTGGACATAACATATTTTTGGGGGCTTGTCTTAACGAATTTACTTTGTTTAAACATTGCCTTTCGTGTCCCCTATTATGTTGTGTCCTTGGTGGACGTGACATATTTTTGGGGGCTTGTTTAAACAAAGTGTGCCTTTTAGAGACAGGTCGTGTCCTACGGTTGGTTCTTGTTTGTTGGCGGTTGTGCTGGGTTTGTGCGTATTTTTGCGCAGCTGACGCGCGTTGCGCTGATTAGTTAGAGCATTCGGTTCTGGTGGTGCTGTAGCTTTGTTTGTGCAGAGGTGTTCCTGATTTGGTGTGGCTTGATTCCAGGGGTAGACATGGAGTTTGACCTGGATGAGTTTGTTCGAGGGCCCACATTGGACACTTTGCATAAATGCATAAAGGATCTGTTGCTGGTAATGAACGTGCGCCCGCTCTGCATAAATCTATCGGTTGTTTCCAGTGAACGAGATGACGCAGGTGTCGGGGCAGCTGCAGATGCACGGGAAGCCGAGCATTTTGAGGTTATTGTGGATTGGACGATTTGACTCTGGGGTTTTTGTGGCTTTGTGTGTGTGCTTGACAGTTTGTGTGGCTAGATTCCAGGGGTGGACATGGAGTCTGACCTGGATGAGTTTGCTCGAGAGCCTACATTGGATGGAGTGTTCCTGTTTAGTGTGGCTAGATTCCAGGGGTGGACATGGAGTTTGACCTGGATGAGTTTGCTCGAGGAGCCACATTAGATGTCTTTAGTGAGTGCACGAAGGATATTTTTCCTGCTGCAGTTTTAACACGGAGTCTTGATGAATCGCCGAAGGAAACCTCATTTGCAGCTGACCCGTTTTGTTTAAAGGAACTTCAGGTCAAATTTGGACAGCTGGCTTTGATAGAGGGAAGAGCTGTTTTTTGAAATACGTAGACAGAAGTTGGTGAATCGGATGTATTTGCTGCACTCGGTGGCATTGAGAGCGCATTAGATCATGTCTTGGATGTGAAAGCTATGTGACGCGTTTTTATTGTAGGAAGAGGGGACAACGTAGTGGCTGACGCACTTTCCTGACTCTAGTCCCGCTTTCCTTTTAGCGTGTTTTTATTGTAAGAGGAGCAGACAATGTCATGGCCGACGCACTCTCATGACTCTAGTTCCGCTTTCCTTTTTTTTCTCTGAATGGGTTGAGCTTTGCTTCGGACCCCATTCAGAGTCTTTGGGTGGGGGTGTTATGTGCCCCAGGCACATTATGATTTTTGTCCATTTCTTTTCTTTGTTTTCTTATAAACTTTAGTTGAAGGATCTTTTGTTAATATATTTTGGGATTCTTTTAGTAAGTTAATTATGTTAATTTGTGGTGCTGTCGTCCGCCTATAAATAGGCTGGCCTTCAGCACGTTAGCGCGTTCCTTTCGCGTTCCTTTCCAACCGCGTTTTTGGACGCCGCTTTCCACCTGCTCATTTGCTCCATCGTGCGCGGTGCGCACTTGTCTTGTCGCTGCGGCCTGCAGCGGACGTTCCAGCCTGCCATGTGGTATTTTTGTTAACTTTTTCTTACTTTTTTTCTCGAGGTTTTGGCCTGGCGGGACCGGTAGTCCTGTTTTCGATTTTTTCTTTTGCTTAGGTTATTTTTTGTCTTTAGTCCGGTAACAGTAGGGGCTTCGACGGCCCTGTATAGGGTTGGCCCCCTGCTGTACCGTTTTATTCTGTTTGATCGGCCTGCCAGGTCCAACTTTCTGTTGTTACTTTGGGTTTCTTTTTTTTACTTTTTGGGGCACGGGATTTGAGGGCCGTTAACTATTTTTCTCTTCGCAGAACATCTGAGGAAGCCGAACCAACTGCAACTAAAACGAAGAAAATTTGTTAATAAAAAATCTTTTTTTTGAACCCTCATTTTTGTCTCGTGTCCTCAAATATGTTGTGTCCTTGGTGGGCGTAACACATGGCAATTAGGAGGATCTGGAGAGCGAGAAAAAAACAGAAACCCTGCTAACATTTTGCCACGAGTCATTAAGGAGACACATTAAATTTCAAAAACTTCATGATTTAGAAGGTCAACAAAGTCCTCAGTGAAGCACGGTAGTGGCTACATCATGCTTCTGTTAGAGTGAGACCAAAACCTTGATAAGATGGTGCATAAATTCATATAAAATCTTCACAAATATGTTTTTTTTTTTTAAAGTGCAGTAGTTTGGATTTGATGCTTGTTGTCGTTGCAGCAGCTCATCCTCGGTCACTCAGACAGTCAGACTGATGTAGAGGTAGAGCAGAGGCTGCAGTTTGAAGCGAAGGCCTGGCCCAGACTCTGCTGACTGCTACAAAAGGAAAGCACAGAGGGGAGGGGGGGGAGGAACCGTCAGAGAGCAAGGCAGTGACTGAAAGCCGAAACGAGACTGATGGCGATGGAGCGGGATGCTGCGCAGGAGGAGGAGGAGGAGAGAAAGACATTATCGAGCCGCTGTGAGTCAGCAGGTTGACAGAGCTTTGGGGTGCGGCTCCAGCGCGTCACTTCCCCTGCCCGCCGTCTTTCCAGTCAGCACCGGTCGGGTCAAACCAGCCGGAGCCTGTTTGATCTGCTCAGAATCAGACGGAGCGGGTCACAGATGGGCTTCTGCCATCGGCTAATAGATTGAATTAATTGCGTTTATTTGGTGACGCCTACGCTGTGAAATCAATCAGCACAGTCTCCGTCCACGGAGAGACCAATCCTCCAATGGATTCTAAAGCAGTCAGATCGACCCTATGGCTCTGCTACTCTATGATAGAAATAATAAACATCTGTTTAAAAAAAAAAAATCACATTTTAAGTTCCTCCATCTCTGATTGTGTGCAGGACCAGGAGACAGCGTCCCGGCGATGTACGGCCTGGATGTGACAGACGTGTCCAGGTGGGAGGAGACTGTGCTGAAGCCTGCACTGCAGATCCTGGACAGTCTCAGCAAGGTGGGGCCCGATCAGTCTGCCAGCTGCAGGGGGGGTCAGGGCCAACAACTGTCCTCCCAGTTCGGCCTACTCAATCTTCCCTCCTTCTAATCTCTATTTCCTTTCTGCTTTAATTTGATATTTTTTGCTAATTTCTTTTTTTTTTCATGTAACTCTGCTTTCTAATCCATCCTTCTTACCTGCTTAGATGTTTTATCAAAAAGGCTCTTTAAAAAGTCCAAATCAGAGTTTTAGATAAAGTCAAATAGTGAGAAAATCCTTTTATCAGTTTGACTCAAAATCTACAAACTGAACTTAAGGTGCAGAAGGTGAGGTGAATCAATAAATACTAGGATTACATGATTTACAGCAAACAGGTGGGAAAAAGGGCAGGAGGACGAACTTTATTAATGACGGCAAACTGGGACATGAGGCACGTAAACAAGGAAAGAAACCCACCATGAAGAAATTCATGAAAACGATCCGACACACAATATTTAAAGATTATGCTTTTTCTTTTTGGCTTGTATTGCTCCTTCTGTCATTTTCCAGGAACAGTATTTACAAAACTCATCAATGAGTAAAGCATTATGAGCAGAAAGAGGTTGAAAACACAGAGATGTTCTTTGTTGGTTTGAAAGAACTATTGGTGAAAGCCTGTAGGTATTTATCCAAAGCTGGAAGCTTAGAAGGTTAACAAGATAAACGTTTTTTTCTTTCTTATTATCTGTTGATGTAAAACTAATTTTGTCAATTTTAGCTCCAGAGACCAGAGAAGAGAAAAGCCTGATTTTAATTCTTCCTTTTTTCCACCTTTTTTTAATAAGTGAGAGCGACCCAGAGGGAAAAGCATCAAAAACAATTAAGACTTTTATAGTGTAATAATTTAGCTTAAGTAAACAGAAGCCATTTCTGATCTAATAGTTGGCTCACTGTGAGGATATTATCAATCCAGCTCTGGGGAAAAAAATCCTGTTTCCACGAAAGATAAAGCAGCCGTTCCATATAAAGCATTGATGTAAGCAGGATTTATTAATCACGAGCAAGCAGCCGCATCTGCTTAGGAAAATATCATAGTTAGGGGAATTTTATTAATTACGGAGCAGAAGAGAGTCGTGAAAATACTTGATGTGTGACAAAGTGTAAATTGGCTGAGGAAACTTGGACATTATAGAAGACTATATTCAGCTCGTAATGACATTTTTTATCTTCTAAATATAATCTTTATTTGAATGGAGTCAAACATCCTGTCACACCTTGACAGCGTCTGCCTGACGTATGAAAAATCTGGCAAGAATTCTGCATATGTTTTATTTAAGTTATTAGCACTCTGAAACAAACTGGTACGTGTCGACATACAGCGAGTACGGCAAGATATTTTTTAGCATTCTCAAAATTTACCGACATATGCCAGTGTACGCCATATATGGGCCATGAGTTACAGGTAGGTTATTAGATCGTTGACATACATACGTTAAGTGTAAGTTAATTATAAGTCGTGGTGTCTAGCTTATCCAAAACCTATGAGTAACTTGTGCATAACTTATGCTTAGCTTATCAAGAATTAATCTCCAACTCATATCAACGTATCGGACGTGTTCCAGACGACCGCTGAACGTGTTTCTAAATTACAGCTACTGTAGAATGACGGAAGCGTTTTGGTATAAAAGGGGTTAGGTTAGTAATCCTTGTTTGTAACGTGGATTCTTTTTCTTTTTTCTTTTTGGCGGGCAGTAAACAGCAGCTAGATTAATACTGCGATCAAAGAAATCTTTTTATGAAGGCCGTGTTCCTCCTGGCGCATTGCTGCCCCCCTCAGGACACTGGCTTGTGACATTTCATGGGCATTACACTGCCGTGCATTACTACGGAAGAGGATTAGAGCCACTGAAAAAATAAATCAAAGTTAACTGATTTTTAAATTTTATTTCAGTTTAATATGGGGAAAAAGTCAGAATTCTGACTTTAATCTCAGAGTTTTGGATCTTAATGTAGATGGGCACCATGAAGGAAGAGATGTGGGAGCACTCAGCTTCACTGACAGAGATGTAAGTTGTTGAGAGGGCCAGTGACACTGGGATTGGGAAACTTTTTACGTGCCCCAGGGGTCCCCTCATTAATGGAGGAGCAGAAGGTCTTAAAACAAGAGAGCTAGTCTCTAAAACATGGCTATGGCTTGATGCTAACATGTTTGTTATCTGTCAGAATTCTGAGAAAAAAGTCAGAATTCTGAGATTAAAGTCAGAATTTTATTAAAATGAAATAAAATTTAAAAATCAGTTTACATTTTTTTTTTTTTTTAGTGGCCCTAATCCTCTTCCGTACATTACGCATAGGTTAGGCTGTCATTGGACATAAGTTCTGGAGTCATTATGTATATTATACACCAAAGATTGAAGAACAATACATAAAGTTTAGCATATGCAAGCATTTTAGAAGATTCTGGGACGTCTGGCATTCGCTGGCTAAATGGTGAAGATGGTTCTAATTACACAGGTTCAACAGATTTATTCATAATGTTTAAATTTTCCTTTAAATTGCTTAAAATTATTCAGCATTTTAATAATAATAGTATTTATGTTTATTCGAAAGAAAACAACTGTTTTTGTTTTACTAAAAGCTCTTCAGATACGGATAATATTCCATGTTTAGGAAGCAATCGGCTGTTTTGTCCAACCTGATGTTTTCTGGCTCAGTTTTCAAAAAGCTCCAATAACATTAGAACACTTCTCTAACTTAAAGATATCTTCTTTATGTTCCTAATGGCTGCAAATTTGAATCTTGGATCTATTTTATTGCCAGAGTTCACAGGAACGGTATGCTAGCTTTTCTTGCTTCTGTATGTTATATGTCTGATATGACTCTAAAAATTTCATAAGACGTTCGGTTTCGTTTATAGTGTGCTGAAATCACATTATAGGTTTATAGTAAAACCCATCTGCATATATGCTGTTGTACATAACTGTAAAAACCCTTTTTATAGTAATATCCACCTGTATATTATATTCGGTACATATCCAGCTGTAAATCTAGTTCATAACACTAGTTATCTATATATTATATTCATCTACAGGTGCTGGTCATAAAATTAGAATATCATGAAAAAGTAGATTGATTTCAGTAATTCCATTTAAAAAGTGAAACTTGTATATTATATTCATACATTACATACAAACTCATATATTTCAGATGTTTATTTTGTTTAATTTTGATGATTACAAATGACAACAAATGAAAATCTCAAATTCATCATATCAGAAAATTAGAATATTACTGAAGACCAATAAAAACAAAGGATTTATAGAAATGTTGGCCAACTGAAAAGTATGAACATGAAAAGTATGAGCATGTACAGCACTCAGTATTTAGTTGGGCCTCCTTTGGCCTGTATTACTGCAGCAATGCGGCGTGGCATGGAGTCGATCAGTCTGTGGCACTGCTCAGGTGTTATGATAGCCCAGGTTGCTCTAATAGTGGCTTTTAGCTCTTCTGAATTGTTGGGTCTGGTGTATTGCATCTTCTTCTTCACAATACCCCATAGATTTTCTATGGGGTTAAGGTCAGGAGAGTTTGCTGGCCAATTAAGAACAGGGATACCATGGTCCTTCAACCAGGTACTGGTAGCTTTGGCACTGTGTGCAGGTGCCAAGTCCTGTTGGAAAATGAAATCTGCATCTCCAAGAAGTTGGTCAGCTGCAGGAAGCATGAAGTGCTCTAAAACTTCCTGGTATGTGGCTGCGTTGACCCTGGACCTCAGAAAACACAATGAACCAACACCAGCAGATGACATGGCACCCCAAACCATCACTGACTGTGGAAACTTTACACTGGACTTCAAGCAACGTGGATGAAGTGCCTCTCTTCTTTTCCTCCAGACTCTGGGACCTTGATTTCCAAAGGAAATGCAAAATTTACTTTCATCAGAGAACATGACTTTGGACCACTCACCAGCAGTCCAGTCCTGTTTCTCTTTAGCCCAGGCAAGACGCTTCTGACGCTGTCTGTGGTTCAAGAGTGGCTTGACACAAGGAATGCGACAGCAGAAACCCATGTCTTTCATACGTCTGTGTGTGGTGGTTCTTGAAGCACTCACTCCAGCTGCAGTCCACTCTTTGTGAATCTCCCCCACATTTTTGAATGGGTTTTGTTTCACAATCCTCTCCAGGGTGCGGTTATCTCTCTTGCTTGTACACTTTTTTCGACCACATCTTTTCCTTCCCTTCGCCTCTCTATTAATGTGCTTGGACACTGAGCTCTGTGAACAGCCAGCCTCTTTAGCGATGACCTTTTGTGTCTTGCCCTCCTTGTGCAAGGTGTCGATGGTCGTCTTTTGGACAACTGTCAAGTCAGCAGTCTTCCCCATGATTGTGTAGCCTATAGAACTAGACTGAAAGACCATTTAAAGGCTTTTGCAGGTGGTTTGAGTTAATTAGCTGATTAGAGTGTGGCACCAGGGGCCATCAATTTTGAACCTTTTCACAATATTCTAATTTTCTGATATGATGAATTTGAGATTTTCATTTGTTGTCATTTGTAATCATCAAAATTAAACAAAATAAACATCTGAAATATATGAGTTTGTATGTAATGTATGAATATAATATACAAGTTTCACTTTTTAAATGGAATTACTGAAATCAATCTACTTTTTCATGATATTCTAATTTTATGACCAGCACCTGTATTAGTAAGATTCTGGTTATAATGTTATTGATCTCTAAACTTATTCAGTAGAAACCCATATCCTGTATTTATGGAACCATTATTTATCCTGCACTTGCTGCTATCGCACTTCTGGTTAAACCTAAACTGCATTTCATTGCCTTGTACCTGCTGTACCTGTGTAATGACAATAAAGTTGAATCTAATCTAATTATCACAAGCAGAAAGTGTTGTTTTCCTGCTTTCTAAAAGAAGTACCTTGATTTGAACCCTAACCTTCGATATTCAGACTTCATCAGGCATTGATGCTCAGTATAATTCAGATTTCCTCTCTCTGTTTCAGGGTGAGGAGCCCCCTTTGGCCCCCATTAGAGTGCAGGGCCCTAGAAACAAACGCAGCCACCACACCTGCGACCTGTGTGATAAAATAATCATCGGAGACCTGGAATGGACCGGTGAGAACGCTCAATCACATTTATGATATTTATTTAACCCCTGTGTGATGTTGGATTTCCAGGACAGTATGAACTCTGGGAAACTGCTGTTGTCCATTAAACCCACCCATGTTAGTAAATCAACATGGCCATGTGCATTTGTTCTACATATTAACCCCACCCCCACATTTCTGCCAACAGGACAGCTTTTAGCCTGCTCCAATGTTTCTTTGGTAAAGCCAAAAACTGAGAATGAAAGAACAAAAACACACTAATCAAGTCAAGAAGGAAGAATATCAATTAGGGCTGAAACAGTTAATCGGATTAATCGTGACTAATCCATTATTTAAATACATGATTGATCACAATTAATCTGATTACTTGATTTGTTATTATTATTGAAAGCATCGATTATTGAAGACTGGAGTATCAACACATGCCTTTAGCTGACAGAGCGAACCGCTTAGAGCTGTAATTATATCAAAATTGTAAAATATATATGTATAAACATTTTTTATTTAAGATACAAAAAAGTTTTTCATCAAGTGGTTTTACTTTCACCTGGTTTAATTTCATAAAAAATCTTCAAGGAAAATTTGGCTTTCTGATTATTAATTGATTAATCGGAAAAACAATCAACAGATTAATCGATTTGCAAAATAATTATTAGTTGCAGCTTTAGTTTGAATGAAAAAGCTTCTTTAGGTTCATCCACATTTCCTCTGTTGAGTAACCGTGGTAAAATAACGATCTGAATCAAAAGTATGTTTATATACCATGTTTACTTTGCATCATTCATGTTTATCTCAGCGTTTTGCGCCCGCAGCTCACCTGAAATCCAAAAAGCATCACTATCACGTGAGGAAGAGGAGAAAGTCTGATCCGGGGTGCGAACCGCCCGTCTCCACCCCCCCTGAAACCTCTCAGGGTTCCTCTAAAGAACTGAGGACAGAACACACAGACGGAGCGGAGGACGCTTTGAGAGCTGCTTCTCCTTTGAGCTCCGTCAGCCGGGTGAACACGACCTCTGACCTCTAAACTTCACTGAACGTCGGCGTCTTCTAGGTTTCTAGGAGACGACCTCATGCACACAAAGGAGACATTTAAAGATATTTATTTTTGCTGTTTAAATTAAAGCAAAAAAAAAAAAAAATTCTCTATTTTTGCACAAAATACCTTATAAATATAGCTATAATTTTTTTAAGTATTTATTTCCTTGTTGCTACAATCAGTTCCCTGAAAGATTATATTTCAGACTCTCAGCCATCTTTGTTTTGACTTTAATAATACTGGAAGGAAAAATAAATATGCTTTGGCTCCAAATTATTGATCCTCGCTTATTTCCTTAGAGTTTTTCTTTTTTTACCTTTCAACCTTGTGTTCATCTCCTATTCTGACATTAAAAAAAAATCTAGTGAAATCAATCTGCTCAGAAGTCACCTAATCCGTAAACACGAGCAGCCTGAAGACAGAGGAAGACGGCGGACGGGTCAGGGAGGAAGAGTACGGCTCGACCACCATCCGCCACAGGAAACGGAAACAACCAAGATCGAACTTTCTGACCCACTGTGGAATACAGTGGTGGCTGCATCATGCTGTGGGGCTTTCCTCCCCCATCTGCTTCCTATTGTGCACTCGGCTGTCACTTAGAAAGACTGTAAAAGGAATGATAGGCTGTAAAAAAAAATATATGTTTGAGTGGTGTGAATACTTTCCAAAAACTCTGGCTTTCCTGGGTTTTTCTTTGTTTTTGTTGTTTTTTTTTTTCATATACCTGGTTGTACTGTTATCTCACTATGATGAACTCGAGCAGAAAAGCCTGACAGCTGATTTGTCTTTAAGGATCTTTTCTTCCTCCTCCTTCTTTGTGTTTCTCTTTTTTGTTTTCTTCCTGTAGAGCTGACTGTTTATCCAAACCAAGGTGTGTCTGCCTGTCGGGGAATACCTGCCGCCTGTTTTGGCGTTCCCTCTCCAGCTGCCGCTGGTTTCTTTCCAGCCAACAGTCGTCTCTCATTTCATAAAAACACTTGTTGTTTTTTCAGTTTAGTTCACATGCCCCTGCAGTTTGACCTCACCTACATCACTAAAAATGTTTCCAGCTGTATAATAGGAGGAAGTGCGTCCCACATTCTATCTTTCCAAACTGGGTCAAGCTGACTGGGAGTTTACTGTACAGTATGGAAGCAAAGTCCAGCTACAGGTTTAATGTACTCTGATTTTTTTTTTGTTTTTTTTAGGTCTGCCATGTGTTACTGTTAAAGAAGCAGCAATAAAAACTGGATTTTGATCTGAATAAAGAGAAAAGTCTCCTTTCATGCCTCCTATTTTTCCTACTCACACTCGAGGCGGTATGCTCTTATCAGGAGCTCCTGCCCAGTTTGGCGCGGCACCACCAGGCACCTGCCTGCACCATTCAATGACGCCAGGGCCCTTGAACTTTGCACACAATTTTATAGAAGCGGAGATGTAGGGCAGCCTCCGCAGTCACAAGGCTAATTAGTGACTTACGCAGTGGATCATCCACAGACACACACACACTCTGAGGGAGCTCATTAGATGCTGGCCGGCTTCAGCTCCTGAATAATCTTAAAACATTCTCTGCGTGCGTTCTCCCTCCTAAGGCAGACCTCTTCAGTATTTGCTGAGTGTTCCTCTTCCAACTACTGTACAACTGTAGCCCTGTAACACTATGAACTAGATATTTGCATAAGCATCATATTTGTCTAAAATCAGTTGTGGTTTTGCAAGATTTCCCAATAATGATTCAGAAGTTTACACACATATTGACTTTAATGTCTTGGCTTTTTGAGTTTCTGATTCATCAGCTGGAAAGCCTCCAATTTAGTTAATTTATCAGGAAGATAATCCCAAAAACAAGCCTTTTCTTCACATCGGAGAACCTTTACTGCAAAGATCAGGTGTGAACCCTGAATAAAGGTCCACCTCTCGTACGGTTTAGGAAGGATTATTTTTTATTTTAGAGATGAAGAGTTTTTGTGCAAAAGGACCTTAAAGATGTCGGCTGAAGATGGTTAGAGTGAAGAGTCCTCGACCTACATGGTAGAAGAAGTCAATAGTTTACAAAGATAGAGCTCAAGCTGTAGTTTTTTTACTTTTAATGATTACATTTTACAGCAGTTGACTTTTCTTTGTTCAACTGTTTGTGGAACAGGGGGAAGTGAACATTTTCTTTAAATCAAAGGAGAGATCACCTGGAAAAGTTTGGGAACCACTGGATTAAAAAATTGGTTTGTAGAGACTTGTCCTGCGGTGTGATGAAACTGAAAGTGTTTGACTGTAAGGATAATTATTATTTTTGGAAGAGAGGTCAGGGAGCTGGACGCATGATCTAGCTGTGATGTAGAGTGATGGCAGGATGATGCTGTGGGGTATTTTCCTGCAGGAGGTGACTGGTTAAAATGTTGAGGCTCCATCTTTTTACACTGGCTTTTAGCAGACGGAACACATATTGGTGATCCTTTTTTAAAAAAAGTAACTTTTCAGTTTAATGTGAGAGAAAAAAATGTTTTTGTAGGTGTCTTTTCCTTCACAGTTTAATCAATTTGTTGTAATTGCTTCAGTCTGACATTAACCTGTGATGCAGAGATAAATTCAGGTCACTCCAGATAAAAGATTGCAGCTGCTCTGTGTCTAGATAATACATTTCGTTTCATATCTGTTCATTTGATTTTAAGTCATGGATTATTTTCTTGTCACTGAGATTTTATCTTTAGTGACTATGTATTTTTTATTCAATTTAGATTAACATAATAATTAGTTTCTGTTTTCTGAACTAATACTTGATCTTCCCACATGGATTTGAATATTCACCAAAATATTTAAGTTATAATTTAACCTTTGGACCGATTAAGATTATATTAAGCTGGTAATTAACTCTGCCTTTCGTATTAATGGAGAGGGAACACTGTACAGCTGTCATGCATGGTAGTGGCAGTATTATGCTCTATTCCTTAACTTCTTCCATTGCTCAGCTCCCTGTCTAAGCAACAGCTCAATGTCTATATCTACAAGACAAAACACGAATCGGGGAGTAAAGATAAACCAACCATTAAAAATGATCTCTGTTACACAAAAAGCTGCATTTATCCAAATGATCGCTCTGCTCTTTGTTTATGTTTGAACTTGAATGCCAGGTTTTCATTGTAAGTGGGTGGATTAAACTGAATCAACTCTGAATTCTAACTTGGTTTCCTGGTTTTTGTTTTTAAAAGTTTACTGAAATTCTAGGTTGTGTAGTTTTCAGTGTTTCATATGAATCATTAAATGTTTAATCCCTAAAATAAGTGCATCCAAACCACTGAATGGAGCTATAATAGATTTAAGGAAATATGCATTTCTGTCTGTTTTAATTCAAAGTATCTGAGGTGTTTCTGAATGGAAAACCACAGCTAGACTCCTGACCTCTTTTAACCCAGCAGTCTGTTTCTTTCCAAGGTGATCAGCTGCATTTCTCTGTTTGTATCTAATAGGAATTCTGATTCGTCCTTGTTTGCAGTCGACAGTCGGAAAGGATTCTTGTTGAAGAAAAACATTTGTGCAGATTCACCATTTTAACCTCTTTTTTTTTAAAGTATGAATCTTTATTTCCTAATGCTGCATTTCATCAAATCTTAGAGCCACATTTCTCCTGTTGTAAATTTTCATCACTTCTTACTCAGAGGGAGTTAAAGGAGCCCTTCCTCAGCTCGCCGCTTCTCTATAGTGGTGTGTCATCCAGTGACTGTGCGTCTAGGTAATATAAAGTCCACCTAATCCTAATCTCTAATCCCATTTGGCTAAACATTCTCTGCCATCTGGTCCTGGCTAGACAAAAAAAAACCCTCCTCACGCATCTAATGCAAGCGGCTAATCAGGCAGAGGAACAGCTGTAGTTATAAAGAATTTTTAAAAGATAACTCAGAAGGCAAAATATTTTGTTTTGAAATGGCAAGATACTAGATACCACAGGGTCCTGTAATCTCTGTTAGGAATGTGAAGGACCTGGCTGAGAATGTGCATCTAAAAACATCAATGTAAAGGTCAAGTGTCATCCTGACAACAGAGCTAATTTAGATCTTTTTTTTGTCTGTTTCTATCGTTGGATTTCTCTACTCCCTTATCTTAAAAGTTTGATGAGTGTGTTTTCACATGCAGGTTTCCCTTGGCCATGGTCAGTGTTTGTTTTTTTGTTTTTTTTTTGGCTTCTGTAGACAAAGAGCTTTCAGAAGTTGCGTAACGGAGAAAGAAACACAACACTGCCAGGTGTGACTCAGCCACACAGGGGCTTTGTTCCTGCTGCATTGTTGTGAGCGTGTGTCCGTTAGGGTGGCTTTCCTGGTTTTACAAGGCCAGTTCATTTAGAAACACCTCAATAATCGCTCCACTTTAATGCTTCCGTGTTTGTACAGTGCGTTTAAAGGGTGTTCAGAACGCTGAAACGGCTATTTATAAACACAAAATTTCTTATTTTTCTTTGGGATTTTATGTGGTCATTAAAATTCACAACAAACATCATCCCTGGTCACTTTACCATGATTTAGTTGAATCATACACACAGTCAGTTATATACTTTTCAAATTGATCTCAGATGTCAAATGTTTAGTTTGTTATTTAAGTTGGTTAGAGAATTATTATCTAAGGAAATCCAGTAGATAGCATCTAGTTACCAACTTGCACTATTCATTAGTGTGTAGCGATGGTGGGCGGTTGCTTGTGGCGCTGACTTTCCAGCAGTTCTTTTTAAGAAGCAAGCATATAGCAACAGTGGAGAGGAAAACTCCCTTTTATCAGCAGGAAACCTCCAGCAACCCAATGGTTATTGGTCACGACCCACTGAGGGCTAAACGTCCGCTCTAATCGCTAAATCCCTCAATCACTTGATAGAGCAGGGACTATATAGTTGACTCTAAACTGCCCTCATTTAACGTCAGTTAAGATGAATGATACTTTTAAATTCCCGTTGGTCACGTGGCCCAACCTCCCCGCAGGGTGTCTGCACCATCTTTGTTCTTTTCCAAAACAAATCCCATGGTGCATTTCAAGGTGAACTCTTTGGAAAGCATTTGGGGATATATATGGATGCACACTACTGTTCAAGGTGCATTGGGGGAAATTTTGAGTCCGCTAATTTTTCCTCCACTAGACCCTCATATAAAATGCTATAAC